TTTTTCCCAGACCTTTGGCCAAAGTCTGCATGCTGTACTGTAGAATTTGCTTCCTGTGATGTGTGCTAACCCCTTATTTGCCCCTCCTTTCTGGAATGTGTTATGGCTGTGGGACTGTTAGGCTCAGTCTACAGGGAGCAGGCAATTCAGGGAACCACAGTAGCTGCTGAAAGCACAGAAAGCTCCATGGCAACGATTACAGTGCTCATGAACCTGTCTGTGTACAGAACACTAAGTGAAGCTTCATGTTCAGTGAAAAACCCTGAAGCATTGCAGAATTTCTCAATGATGGGGAGGGTGGTGGCAGAGTCTTTATAACACATTAAAGGCAGCATTTTTTAACTGTAATAGAGCCTACATAAAAATAGTCATAGCTAATAGAATCATTTGTGGTACTACATAGTTGTTGGGAGCAGTGATACAGCAAACATATTGTTTGGCCTGTTGCCAAATTCCCAATACTGTTATAATGAAATTATTAGGATTTCCTGAGGTTAAGGAAGCAGTTGTGAGCTGTGGACGGTTGGTAGGGAGTAGTGATTAAGGTTCTGGACACCTAACTGGGATGTCATGGGTTCAGATGTCACTGTAGTCTTCAGCAAGGTGGTTTACCTGGATTGCTCCAGCACAGCCTAGATGTAAAGACTGGGACCAAAATTATATGTAAAAAAAAAACATTCTAGGTTGTTTTGGATGAAAGTGTCCACCAAATCAATATAATTTCTCATTCTTCCTCTTGTAAAAGGTTCAACTTGAAATACTGATGTATCTGTTCTATTTACCATCATCCACATTATGATCAACATACCACCCTGTAACAAATATGATGGACTTAAACATTAGTCTCTATTCATTTAGGTTGTTATTATTAAAAAGATAATAAGGTGATTAGAAAAATGTATATATATTTTAATTGAATCAATGTGTAGTGCTTTAGGAGATAAAATAAATAAGTACGAATTTATGGCCTACTGTATAAGGCGAGAGAATTCCTTCAATGGGAAAATGCAATTAGAGGATTACAACACGGATCTGTATTGGGATTTTAGATCTTTTTCATTTATATAAGTGGTGTAGATTTTGATATAGTTAGTAAAGTTGTTAGTGTAGCTTGTAGACAATACCAAAATAGCAGAGTGAGCAATCATTGTAGAAGCAGCAAATGTAAGGTTTAAAAAAGTTAACTAGGCAAACTGGTAAATTGCATTTAATGTAGACAAGTGTAGGATAGCTAGCAAAAGCAAACTGAATACAAACTGGCAAACACTGAACTAGAAAAAGCTGTTGATGTTTTGAAGTGTTTACGTTGACAGATCGTTTAAATCTCCTCTACAATGTGTGTAAGCAAAATTTTAAGATGTATAGATAAAAATATAGAATTTAAATCAAAGGATGTTATGGTAAAACTGAATAAAAGATCAGGGTGCTACATACAAATAATATTTAAATGCATGAAACAAAAGCAGGAGGCACTTTTTTCCTCAAAGCTGTGGGACTATAGAACCAGCTGTCCAGCTATGTCATTGGAGTCTATGCCCTTGCTTCTTTTAAATAACATATAGGTGAGCACCTCAGATAGAATATTAACTACCAAATGGGCATGATGCACTAAATGGCCTTCTTGTGTTTTGTGATCTCATAATGGAATAGTACTGTACATACTTTCATGGTTGTTAGTAAAAGTTTCTTGTATGCACAAGTATACCTTTACTTCAGATTCCATTGTAATTTTAATGTGTAGGTTTCAAAAAAATTTTATGAAGGTATATAGTATAATGAACATATGTAAAGGCCTATACATTTAAAACCTTATTTCTTTGAATCAGTTTATGCTCAAGTCTATATACTTTCTGTAGCTCTGCATTATACATCTTCCTAAATTTCATTGATACAGAACAAAAACTATATTAAAAGGCTTACATAGTTCTCAGCAGTAGTTGCATAGTATTCTAGAGGCTTGACATATCACAGCTTCATTTGATATTTCTCTGTAACAGTAATTGTTTAAGGAAAGGCTTGAAGCAAACAGCTAATATTTGTTAAAGAACAGTTTTTCTTTTCTGGGCAGAAGTACCAACGTTTCGACTAATTGCCTGTGCAGTTCCACTTTAATAACAACATTGTTTGAAAAGATTTTGATTGCTATGACTACTATCTGTTTTACCTTGAGGGGTTCAGCGTTCGGTGTCACTGCATCTGGGTGCCTGTGAAAGTAGGAATTCAGTCATATCTGTGATTGTAAAGGGCAATTTGAGCCATTATTCATATCCTCTGTGATCTTGATACTTACGTTAACGAGGTTTTGCGCTTCATGTTGACTAATTTTTAGCACCTGGATGGCACCATGAGAATGTTATTATCATCAATATAACATAATATAATTAAATAGTGCCATGCACTATACAAATTATATCATCTTGGTGTATTCCTTTCACTTTGATTCCTGGAATTGTCTATTGTCACCACCTGCTGAGAGTCCATTTTCATTGGGTAAAGTCACAATTAACTCACACTTCTATGTACCCATATATGGAATTTATTTTCCTGATGGAAAAAAAGACTAATTTGTTTGTATAATGCAAGGATAAAAAGTCCATTAGCTCTTTTCAGTGAAAGCCGTGAGCTCTAGCTGTGTTTGATTTATACATGCGTTGAGCGAAAGTGCATATCTAATCCAGGATACACAGTGACTCTGCAGGTGATTATTCTACTATTAGTCAGTTTCCACATTGAATCAATGAATGCCTCTTAATTCCAGTATGAAAATAAATAAGGAATTAGGCCTTCCATTTTGAATCTAAACCAATGCCATTCTCTCAAACCTTATTCCACTTTTGTATAAAATGGACAGTATCATAAGTGCTTGTTATTTTGGATTGACTGCAGTGTTTGATCAGATTTAGTGTTTCTGTCTGTGATGTCTATTATTATTATTATTATGATGGCTAATCTAAATTGTATGTCTTTTTGCAAATGGGTTGTTATCCTTAAGGATGGCAGTTCTTTTTCTTTTCGACTTCCCATCATCTTAAAATTATCATCAAATGATTCACTCACGTTCTTTAATATTTTGACTTGAATACACTTTTATTGTAGAACCTTTAGAGGTGCTTTGTGAATTGTTGACAAAAGTTAATTTTCTTTTTTGTGCTTAGTTTAATTGCATATATTATAATTTACATGCACATGGCCTATGCTGCATAAATTATTATTTTTTTAAATCTAAAGCTCTGGTAAGATCTGACCAACATTGTTTGTAATTCTGATTCATACGCCTGCAATTGTAACTGCTAAAAAAGTTAGTTTGTATGATTGCTTTCAAAGCAAAACAAAGGGAAAAACACATACTAGCAGTATTTTCATGATTGCCATTACATTCCTACTTTTATATGTTTTTTTATCTGACTAACCAACTTTGAGCTTTGAGACGTTAATCCAGATAGTTACAGTACCAGTATATGAGTGAGGCCACTTCCCATTTTAACCTTTGTCTACCATGTTACCTCAGTAGGTGGCCGTTTATTGCTCCAGGCACTGCCTCAAGATTATTTTTGAAGAATTCTAGGAAATCGGGCACAATAGCAGTGGACCAAAGGCCCATAAAAGATGCTTTCGAGTTTGTTCCTGAAAACACTTCCAATTCTCTCTTGTAGTCCCAGTTTCTGTGCTTGATTAGAAGTATGCAGCTGTGTGATTTGCTTTTTCTTACTGTTCAGTACTTAACCTTTTAACATAAAATCTCTTTTTAAAAGTAGCAGTGAGGTGCATTCATTGCCGTTTTGATAAATAACCTACTTGCTGTGAGAAAGAATGTTTCTTCTTCTTCACCAGTCCCATTGACAAACATATTTTTGCGCCCAGTGTATTGGAGCTCATAAATAAATTACATCTGTACCCTGGTGCTTCTTTTATGGTAGTTGTTCTTTTAATATGGCAAGATTAGCTTTTTTTTTTAGAACAGGAAAGGGCAAATGTTTTTCAGTGGAAACCACTATGATTGTGGATGTAGCTTGCACATCACTGGATTTTAAAGGAATAAGAAAGTCACAAAGCAGGTAGATATAGTTTTGCTGAAGAGAGTTTTGAAACCATTCTTTTCAGGTCCCCCTCTCCTTGCTTTCTCAGCAGGCTTCCCAGCCTCCTCTGCACAGCGAGGTCTTTGATGCCAGGAGCAGGTTCTTTATTATTTAAATCCTTGCTTGTTTTGAAGGCTTCAAATCATTAACAGTGTGACAGACAACACAAAGTTTTAGTTTTCCTCACTAGATTAATCCTTTGGGTCACTTTTAAATAGGAACAGTACTGAGTATGAATATTTGTTTTATTTTGTAAATACTCTGGGGCGAAAAAAGGAAATTTTCCTTGTTACACAAAGGATGCATGTCTATTTGATCAGCTCACTAAGGGAGTTTCAACACTCAAATCATAATTTTCCTTTTCCATTGCATATTTCAGGAGACAGAGTATCAGTTTTTTATCTCTTCTGTGTGTGTGGTGAATGTAATTTAGATTGCAGTTCAGTCAGTGATCGGTATATTTCCCTGTAATTTCTAGGAATTGGGAAGGTGTCAGTTTTAACAAGTCTAAATTAGGATACTGAAAAAACCACTTTTCCTATTCAGGTTGTGCACACAGTCATTTTAAAAATGGGTAATATTCAGGGGTTCTATGAGCTCAGTACTCATGTTCCTAACTCTAATATGGTAAAATCATATATATATATAGAGAGAGAAATTCCAGGTATTGTGCTTGAAGAAGCAAAGATTATGTGAAATTGAAAATGGTGTAGAAACCTTTTTAGGTGATCAAATGTTTTTTTTTTTCTCACATTGTATTTCAGAGTTTAATATTTATTCTGCTTGCTGGGTTCTGTTTAAGGGCTTGACAAGTGGTATATTATTTGGAGTGCAACAGATTTAAACCCAATGCCCTAGTAACAGTTGCTGGCCTCTTTCCGATTGGCAAGGTGTAATTCCAGCATCTTTTTTTCTATGTCACAGCTATTTGGAAAAGTACGAAAAAGTGCATCATTTTGGAGAAGATGACGAGGAGGTACAGCCTGGCAATCCAAAACCATCTCTTCCCATTGGTGCAATACCCTGCTCCTACAACTACCAGCAACACACTGTATCAGGTAAGCCATTTCAGCAAGGGCTTGGGTGTTTTCTCCCTTGTTGTCTTACTTTTACCTTCTCCTTCTACATTTATTCTGTTTGTTTTGTTCCTACAGTTTTGAGTTGTTGTCTGAATGTTTTTAACTTAAAATAATATTGTTAAACAAGTGGTTATCTCCTGATCTTAGTGTAGATTGATGGGTAAGAGAGTACAGTGTGGAGGGGGTTCGGGCAATTTATACTGGTTGGATTATACTGTTGTATAGCACATATATACTGCCAAAGTGGTACTTTTTGTAACTAAGTCTTATTACCAGACACTGATCTTTTTGTGAGCATTTGTTATAGTAACCCTTTCCATCTTATACAAGGCAGCTCGGATTATTCGATTGTTCTTTAGCCTCACACGTTGCTCGCTCTGTCCTGCACTTGTTGGGTAGTATTTCACTACGTATATCTCCTGAGGCCACCTTAGGGCAGGCGTGCAGTGAGTGCTCGTACTGAGATGTTTATATTTAGGAGTGCTGTCTTGAATACTATTGGGAGGCTTTCCTGTTACAGTACTGGTAATACATAGTAAACAAGCCCTCACTGGCAAGTGTGTTGCCTGGCATCAGGAATGCCTTTTATTAAAAGGTCCACACTTTAGTATTTGCTGCTAGATTAAACAGCAGTTTAACATTAATTCACCCTATATGTATAGTTCTATATTTTAAAATAATGTTGACTGTGAAAATCATTAGGACAAATATATTTGCCCTCTTGTCTGAAATGGGGAAAAATGAGAGAGTAAACTGTTTAAATGTAGGTCAGAATAACATGAATACTGACCTGACCTGAATCCAAGGGAGATTCTTACTGGCTATGAAAGAAGCCACAGCTGCTATAAAGTCAACCCTTTTGAATGAGCTCAAAGTGACTCACACTAAAGAACTGGAAACATACTGATCTCGGCGAAAGCTGGAAGATTTGAACACTCTTAATAGTAGATTTATATCCAAGCATTTTGTTGGTTATTGCAGGACTTTGTAAAACTATAATTTAGTTTTTTTTTAATAAGATTGCAGAATTGTTATTGATCCTACATAAAGAAAATAAAAATGTCTTTGAGGAATCTTGTTTACTGTAATACACTACACTTGGAAGGGTTTGATTGCTTAATGTTTTGATGATAAATTCTACACATTTTTAGTTTTCCATATAACAAAAAATCATCAACTGGGGAAAGAATTTTAAGTCCATGTATTTCCAGACCTTTGTGGCTTAACAGCTAGCCTATTCCTGTTTTTGTAAAAACTTAAAGGTGAAAGAAATGGAAATACATGAATAATTCATGAAGTCCAAAACACTACAATTACAGTGATTGACCGTAGATTATTCAGTTATTGGTTATATACCACCCAATTAAATGTCTGCTGTGAAACACCTAGGAAAGGTTAAATGTATACTTGTTAGAGGTTTGACAAACTTGTTTAATCAACATTTGATTAAACAAATCTTGCATTTGTCTCCTTCAGATTATCTTCGCCAAAGCTATGGGCTCTCCATGGAGTTTGTCACGCCGTGTGACTACAACAAACTGGTGCTCTCTCTTTTATCGGGCCTCCCGAATGAAGTTGATTTCGCCATTAACGTTTGCACTCTTCTTTCAAATGAAAGCAAGCACGTCATGCAGCTTGAGAAAGATCCTAAACTCATCACATTGCTACTAGCACATGCTGGAGTCTTTGATGACAGTAAGTCATTTCAGTAGTTTCTGACAGTCAAGTCAGTCTTCCACTGTTTTGGTATTTGTTTGGTATTGCCTTCTTGATTTTTTTTGTAAGGTAATTTTTTGTTGAAATTGATATAATGACAAGTAAAATGTCCCATCACTCTCAAGATTTCATCCTGATGCTTTTGTATTTGGGGATGATGGCCAGGATTATCTAAAAGTAGCTCAAAGGTAACATAACTAATAGCAGTTCAATGTCATGTGACTAGCCATTTCTGAATTCAGTGTTTTGAACCTGTGATTATTACTCTGAACAAATGATTGAAAAATGGTGATTCCCCAAACAACATTTAAAATAAAAAGACTGTTACATACACCACATTCTTTTTTTTTAATTTCCAGAAGGTTATTGAACTTTAATGTTACTTCTTAATTTTGAATTTACTATACTGAAATATTTCCAGTCTGTTTCCAGTAAAATTACATTACAGTCTAAGCTAGATGCAGGGTCTAGATTTGGACAAATTGTCCCATGGTAAATGTAAGCTTATTTTTGAGAATTGGTACATTTATGTCTCTTTTATCATTTAAAATAATTGAAAGCTAAATTATTGCTCTTTCTGATGTCTGAAGTTTTTTTTAAGCTTTTCTTCATGTTTGTGTGCTTGTGTTAACAGCACTAGGAAGCTTTTCTGCTGTATTTGGGACCGAGTGGAAAGAGAAAACATCTCGAGATTTTGTAAAGGTAATCTTTCATAAATGCACCCTTATCATTTAATGACAGTGTATAATAATGCTTAATTTATTTCCATTTATTAGCACTGTTTTTTGTAAGTCTCTGAAAGCCATTTACTCAGGTAGTATTTATTAATAGAAATGATTTTGATAAACCAGAAAATTGCTTTAGCCTTGAACACCCCAAATGCATTTTAGTGCATTTTTGAGCAGATAGTAAAATAATTCCTATTTCAAACTATGTAAAGAAGTTTGAAAGAAGTTCTGTAATAAACTACTTTGCCTTACCCATGAACCATTTTTCCTCGATTTTTTTGTTGTTTGTGAACTTCATCTTTGATGAAGTTTAGATAGCAAAAGTTCAAGAAGAAAACCTTTGCATGGTTTTTTGGCATCCCATATGTTGTAACCAACATTTTTCACACCAAGTCATTTCTCTACCTTGCTTTCATACTTCATGAGCAAGTGCAGTACTTTACCACAATGCCATAATTAACTTCCTCTGCACAATTTTTCTCATTTAGATTAGACGTTTCTGTGGGTGTAGATTACTACAGTACTCTACTGTATGAGCAAATCATTCATAACACGTTTCTCAGGGAGAGTATTCTCCTGATGCTAAAACTCTTTAGCATCAACAGTTTTGCCCTTTTTTGTATTTTAAATAGTCTTATCTTTATAAATAACTGAAAATACAGTATGCATCACTGCAGTTGTGTAACAATGAAATATTTTAAAACTTTTTCTGATAGTTATGGAAGGACATAGTAGATGATAATGAAGTAAGGGACCTCATTACAGACAAGAGCAACAAATCACAAGGTAGGTGAACTGAATTTCCATTGTTTCTTAATAAAGCTTGAGCTGAATTCAAATTTCTAAAACATTTTTCTAGAGCTGAGTAAATGATGAATTCATAATTTGTACATTTTCTTTTTCACTGAAGATGGTACGACTACGGAGGGCAGCTGGGATTCTCTTTTCCATCCTCCTCGGAATGTCGGCATTAACGACATTGAAGGACAGCGTGTGCTCCAAATTGCAGTTATCCTTAGAAATCTTTCATTTGAAGAAGGAAACGTTAAACTTCTGGCAGCTAATCGGACTTGTCTCAGATTCCTCTTACTGTGTGCCCACTGTCACTTTATTTCTCTAAGGCAGCTGGGTCTGGACACTCTGGGCAATGTAGCAGGAGAGGTAAAGATCTTGTTTTTCGGTGTGGACATTGTCATTCTGATTCTTGTTTTAAAGTTAACATTTGCCAGGGGTCCGTCAATTTTAAGAGATTAATTTCTTTCCCATTAGTATTTGAAGTAGAAAATCTCTCTTTATATTCTTTTTGAGCAAAAAATAGCCTCAGATGACAATAGTATAAAGATAGTGACTGTTATTGGGAATGTTTTTAAAAAATATATATTTCTGTCTTTTTCTATGCCTGTAAAAAGTCACAGATTTTCAAGATAGTTTTAGAGGAGATGCGAACTGATGGCAGGTATTTCTTTCTTCTTGGTTTCTCTTATAAATGTGATCACTAGTAATGATAATTTTTTACTTTGCAGCTTCAGTTGGATCCTGTTGATTTTAGAGCTACTCATCTTATGTTTCACACTATTACAAAATGTTTAATGTCAAGAGACAGGTTTTTAAAAATGAGGGGTGAGTATTTCTTATATAAACACAATAGTTCTTATTTTGTTTTTACTTGAAACGTGTAGTGCATTTGGCCCCTGACCTCCTTGGTTTGGTTGTATTTTCAGCAATGGAAATCTTGGGGAACCTTTGTAAAGCTGATGATAATGCAGTCCTCATTTGTGAGTATGTGGATCAAGAATCCTACAGGGAGATAATATGTCATCTCACTTTACCTGATGTGCTGCTTGTAATCTCCACACTAGAGGTGCTATACATGCTTACAGAACTGGGAGATGTAACTTGCACAAAGATAGCTTCTGTGGACAAGAGTATAGGTATGTACAGTTTTACCCCCATCTTTTCAGTTAAGTAGAAAATAAGCTTTAATGGTCTTTTACCTCAATGTTATTTTTTGTACCTCTTAATGGTACAGCTGTAATAAAATTCTAATTTTGATGTGGAATCTGTCCAAATCATTATTACTTACACTTGCATACTTTATGCAATACACAGTTTTGTTTATCTGACTTCCATTGATGTCATGCCAAGATAAAGTAACAGAAGGGGTTTTATTGAAAGTGAATGTTCTTTGGCTGACCATAACTGTTCTCCGGAAGTATCTGAAAAATACTTCAATGTGTCAGGCAAGAGTTGAGGGCAAAATATAATATGTTGTAATTAAATTGTTATTTTTGTGAGTTTAATATTTATAACTAAATCTCTTATGGGATACGTTTTGTTTTCAGTTTGAGTCTTTTGTCTTACAATATCTAAGTATTATTTATCTCCTTATGTGCTAACACAAGTGTCTACCCGAATATTTATGGAGAGGCACAGTTACAGTATAATTAAATACATTTTTTTGAAAGACTGCTGGATATACCCCTGTGTGCCAACACTAAACAAATGCATCTCTGTAGCTGGAATCAATAAGTTGTAATTTCTATACTCTTACCTCGAGTATTGTGCCTGAAATGTAAGCAGCTGCGTAATGGAATATTATGATTTAGTTTAAGGAATTATAAACAGATGTATTTTGTTTCCTGTTGGTGACATACTTTCCTTCAAATAAGTACAATAGGGAGGAAATTAGACTATGTTCTGTTTTCTCGGACACTTAAATGTTTTTTTTTTCATGTTTGTTTTAAATGCCCAATGGCAATACTAATATAGAAATTCCACAATGAAATTATTTCCTTTTCACTCACTTCTCAGATCTTTTAGTTCGTTTGGTATCGGTGGACATCCAGACCTTTGGACCTGATGCACTCACAGCAGTGAAGCTTATTGAGCACCAGAGCTCCAACAGCCAAGTGGTGTCTGAAATTAGACCCCAGTTGGTAGAGCACGTCCCTGCACAGCTACATGGAGCTTCTACACCAGGTAAGAGATGCAGGATATTTACTACAATGTTACAAGATAATAATAAGGCCTTTGCTTCTCGCTGAACTTAATCTTTGTCATCTGTGTTTGTGTTTTTGAAAATTCCAGAACCACTTGTGCTACGTTAAGAGATCTAACACTACACATAAACAGTAGTTCTCGCATGTTCCCACAAGCCAAAGGAGATATACATTTTAAAATATGCCTAACTTAATTAAAAATCATTGGTTTTGTGTTGTGCAAAAGCTCTCAAGAGTAAAGATATCTCAAATATTGCAGTACTTTCCAGCATTTACGTTTGTAGTTGATATTGATTTAATCTCTGAAATGTGTGACTAATTCCCTCTCTATTCTAGAATATGGACATTACCAGTAACCTTACTTATTGCACTTTTTGGTATATAAGAAAGGTGGCAAATGACAGAAGACCTTCTGGCTCATCTTTTTTGTTGAGCAAAGTAATCCTAAAACCAGCTGAATGAGACACTTGTTCCAAACACACACATCTCCTTGTGTAGTGTCTTTCTCTCTACCCCTCTGAATTCTCTCTCTTCTAATTGTAACCCTATGTCAATACTAAACATGAAGAAGTGTCCTTGGTTGACCCTGTATGTACAACATAAGTTTTTATGTACTTTGATCAAATCTATTCTTAATCTATTCTTAATTTAGTTCTTGCAAACTGTGTATAACAATCTCTTGAGACTAGGAATCATTCTCATTGCTCTTCTTCTAAAGCTAGAATACTACTTTTGTGGTATCAATACTGAATACAGTATTCTAAATGAGGTTTTGGTAATGGATTGTTAAACCTGAACATAATTTCTCTAGATGTAAACTCTACACTGTTTCCTATAACCCCAAGCAGGTTGTTTTCTTTATTATTTCTTTCCAACATTCTTAAGAAGTACATAGAAAAACCTACATAAGCACTCAGATCCCTTTCATGCATAGCTTCCTGCAGCTCAAAATCACCCATGCATGATATGCCAATTGTATGTTCCTACTTTTTTCGATCACTTTACACTTTAAATTTCATTTGCCAGGCATATTCTGAATCCATTATTTTGTCTAACTTTTTTGGTGGAAGTAACTTGCATTTCCTACTGGATGCCACTCCTCCCTGCTTTTCATCATTAACTCTAGTTAAGTCTGTACTCGAAACTAAATCATTGATATAGTACAGAAAGAGCAGCAGGCTTAAATTTATCACACACATTTATTGGCAAGCTATCTTCCAAGTAGAATTACCCTAAATCAATCCAAATGTATTCTCTGTCAGATTGAGTTTTCCCTGCATGTTGCATGGCACTACTACTTGATTCGGTGATGGTACACTATTTGTGTGATTGCGTTGCAAATCTTGCATTTGTTATAGGCGGATGAATAGGTATAGAAAACAGGTTGATTTTGATTTGGAATCGGTTAATGTTAGTCCAACGCGAAAGCTTCAACATTTATCTAGTAAATTTGATCGTTGGCTAAAATAAAGTCTACGTCTGAAGTAGGCAATCTCTCATAAAATGCCCATGAACCTGAAAATTAAAAATGAAATGACAGTGATGAGGAGATTGAGTTCTTTCTCTTCGCTGTTTCTTTTGTCAAAGATATGTTTCAGGCAAGTTGGCTGAAAATATACCCATGGCTGAAAATGAAAGACGGAGAATTGAGATGCTCAGCTTGTAACATGTTCAGTAGTGTGAGGTTTACTAGCTGGTGTTAAAAAAAATTTAAAAAGCTATTTCTTTAATGTTGGATGGGTCCACTGATAAGTAACAGTAAGCAGCTCATTATCTATGTAACGTACATACATGAAAACAAAGTTTTTTAAGAAACTCTGAAATTGCAGATGGAAGGGAGGAAACCATTTGATATGAAGCAACTAATGAGCGAAAATAAAAATAAATGGCTGCCAAAGAGTAGTTCAAAAATTCAGGGAAGAATTCAGTTCAGAATGAACCAGATTGTACTGCACAGCTCTCCGGCTTGCCCTTGCCACAAGTGATGCGGTCAAATCTGTGGACCAAGTGAAAAGGTTCTAGAAAGACTTGAGGGCTTCTGAAACAACTGGAGAAGCCAACACTGAAGTTTACCACATACAGTGAAGTGGTTGTGAATTCAAAGTGCAGTGTCCTTTGTATGTAGATCATTAGAAGCCCTGTGAGATCTGCTAGAACACATGGCTGCCTCCAGCACTCAGGACTCTGAAAAGCCAAAGGTCTTATTATTTCTGTCAGACAGTTCAACTTTGTGGCCCTCTGTCACTTGATGAAAGATGTACTGGTGCCTATAGTCCTACTCTCAAAGCATTTTCAAAAGGAAGACAGACTTCTCCACAGTCCAGCCTATGGTTCCGTATACTAAAGGGGCACTGAGAGCTATTACTAATAGAATTAGTCCATCCTGGTCCTTAAGAGCAGGACTTTTTTAGTTAGCTCTCTTGAAGGGAACAACTTGAAAGGAGACAAACTGTTTGATTGTCCTATACAAAAGCCTGCCTTTGATGACAATATGAAAAGCAGATACATGGGTTGCTTGATGAGGAAAAGAAAAAAAATAATCATCCTTCTCCTAAGTTATGTTCTTGTACCTTCAATGGAGAGGAGGTTGGTAACGAAAGACAGATTCACAAGGTAGGACTGTATTTACAATGAACTTATGAACCTCGTGTTGTGTATTAATTATTTTGATGCACTCGTTTCATTAGTCTGCTATTATTCCCCTCCAAGATGCTGAAATCCCCCCCCATGAGCTTCATGTAAAGAATTCATTTCCAAAATGAATTTTAAGCCCTGGTATTCTCTTGGTCAACCAGTTATCAATCCATGTGCTTACATTACCTTCTATTCTTATATCTTTTGATGTAGGAATTAATTTCTGATGAGGGATTTTATCACAATTTGAATAGATCTTGCTATGGCTTTATTGGTAGTAACTGTGCTTGTTACTGATTCAAAATATTATATTACTGTACATACAATGTTCCTGTACTTTATTAGTATATATATTTTGTGGCAATTATTCTATAGAATAAAGTGTAATGCTAGTAATTGTAGGGCTTCAAATAAACAGCAGTCGTGAAGACATAGATTCCTAAATGTTTACAGTGAAATATGCAGTACATTCTCCCGCAGTGGTGTGGATATACAAATATATGGTTCTATATATACCAGGACAACATATACTATATAGCAGAACTCCTGCCAGAAGTTTGATGCTAAAGTAGTGATACCAGGCATTTCATTTTATTGATAATTGGTGAAAGATAGTTGAAAAGTAACATCTCCCCTCTAGACACTATTTCCTGCTTGTGTGCAGAAAATTATATTATGGAAATGTAACTTTACCAGCTGAGTGTACCAGATTGAAAATCTTTAGATGAAACAACTCTGCACACTTCTAAGATGATGGTGTAACTCACTCCGACAGCATTCATGAAATCCAGTCTGCTTTTGTCGTTTTTTTCAAAATAGTAGCTTTGCCACCTTATAGTCTGATCTTGTCAGATCTCAGAAGCTAAACTTGGCTGGGCCTAGTCAGTACTGGGATGGGAAACCTCCAAATAAAACCAGGTTGCTGGTTACAAACCAGTGCCATACTATAGTGACCAGGGGGACACTGTGTCCTTCGGATGAGACGTTGAACGGAGGTCCCAACTATATGACTTACATATCCCATAGCAATTTTCAAAAGAGTAGAGGTATTAGTCCCAGTGACCTAACTAATTCCATCCTGGGCTTATATGGTTGGCCTTCTTAGAGTTTCTTCTTAATTCATTTGGGGTTCTGGTGCATAATGGCTGCTGTGTATCACAAAGGAAGGCACTGTAATTCAGTATTAGATCCTGTGTGCAAAGTGCTTTGAGATTCTTCTATATGAAAAACATTATATAAATTTAAGGAATTATTCTCCTCTCTGGATTCATGTTTGCCATAACACAGTTATTCACATAGGTGAAATTTATATAGAGCTTCATGGGTTGGTCACAAATTTCTCTTCTCATTTTGTAAAATGTCCAAACAGGGACAACATAATTTTTGGCTACAAATTAGAATACTAAACAATCTCTGTGTAACATTTCTTTAAAATGTTGTTTTACAGTAATGTAATACTGTCATCTTTGCTTGAACATCATTTAGTTATATTACACATAGTATGGTACCAAATCCATTGTTTGGTTATCAAATGTGAGGTTTTGGAGGAACCAATGATGCTCTTGCACACTCGCTCATTTTTCTTTTTTTGGAGGAAAGGCGTTTCCTCTTTTCTGGTTGGGTAATAAGCTCACTTGATAATTTTTGTGGCTTTTGTCTTTCATTTTTCAGTTCTGGGGGATTGAGTCCCCTTCACTATAGTGACACCTGAGTGATTGCCTGTAATTAGTGCTCTCATTAATGTGTTGCAGGTGCCAATGGCAATAAGCTTAAAAAAAAACAGCTGGTAAAAATTATTTGGATGCACTTGCAACTTTTCATATCAAAGTCCAGAGCCTTGCACTTTACTTTTGTTATACGTTTATTTTCTTGAATGGTGCCCATTGATTTGAGTAAATAATGACAAGTTTTTTTTATAGTGAATGAGAATTGATGAAGTCTCTTCAAAAACCTTCACTTTTCCTCCACATAAATTGCATTTGCCTTTTGAAGGAACATTTCTGTGTTTTCAACACATTATCAATTGTAAATGTTGACAGGTACAAGAAATATCATGAAAAACTGGCTGTTTTATTTCTGCCAGACGCTTACAAGTAGAATTTTTTTTAATTTAAGATTCTCTGTAGCCTTCTATACAGACTGTTTTTTTCCAGGACAGTAACCATCTGGACAACACGGAAACTTATTCTGTGGTCAGATTATAGTATAAAAAAACTGCCAGAAGCAACTTAACCATTTACTTTTCTGAACCATTGTATGATTAAATAAACATCAAATTATTTAAATAAAAAGGCAGATGTGAACTTGGCAGAGAGATGCTCTTCCTTTTCAACAAAAGAACCTGCCTTATCACTAAATAGCATTAGGTTACCACATTTTAAAGCAGATAAAGGCTAACTACTCTCAAAATTATTTGCACTACAAATGTTCTATGTAAAACAGGTAATTATTTTTCTATTAAATTCCTTTAAATCTAGTAAGGAATATGTAAACATTAATAAATATTTAGATGCCTTTTGACTGCCCTCTTTAGGATGTTAAAGGGAAATGCTTTTTTTTAAAATTGGTGCAGGATTCACAAGTCTGTAGACACTTTTCAGTATTAAATTTGATAAGATGGAATTCTAAATGCCAAAACAGCAGATTCATTTGACATGTAGAAGGAAATTTGATTGGAATTAAAGAAGTCTTGAATTCCAAAACCTTAAATTGAATCCTAAGGCATATAATGTTCAGCAAACATTATGTTTTGTTCAGCAAGACAGGCTCATAGCATGTAAAGCTGGACATATTTATTGAAAACTCCATACAAAAAATGTTGTGTTTATTTGTGCCTGAAGCAAAGATTTATGATTGAATGCATCAGACTCTGTAAATAGGACAGGACCTGGCTGTAGTTTGTCCTGTAGATAATGCTCATTTCACAATTAAAACAGATTAAAACAGAAGTTTTTCTTTAATGATCTGAGGTTCAGGTAAAAGAAATCTGCTTTCATTTGCCTATGTTACAGAAAAGTATATATGTATATAGAAGAATTCTTTGCAAAAATGATTTCACTGCTTTTCACTGCACAAATGATCAGTAATAGCTACTGATCACTCTAAATATTGTCCTGAAGCCCAGTGGATCTTAACAGTTATATCTAGGCTTCTGGTTTTGTAGAGTTGGGGTTTCTCAATTTAACCTACTCTTTAACATTTTATCATGAGTTTATCTACATTATTTGAACTGGTAATGCTATTGCTGGTTGTATACAGTTAGTGGACAAAAAATGGAAACACCTGGGGAAAATGAGGGACACTTTATGTATTGAAAGCAATGGCTTCCACAGAGGTGTGACTTATGTTAAGTAAACAAAATCTCAGAATTTGTAGAGTGAAAATGCTGGACAGGGCCCAGGTGCCTATAATTATGCACCATGGCTACAAGAGGAGACCTCACTGACTTTGAAAGAGGGATGATTGGATTGGTGAGAAAATGATTTTGGCAGGTGCTTCAGTGACCAAGACAGCTCAACATGCTGATGTTACACAAACCTTTTTGTCTAAGGTGATGTCAACAAGGAAATCAAAGGGATTCCTCATCAGCAAAGGGCAGCAGTGGGCAGGATGCCTTAATCAGGATTGTGATATCCATACGTTTATTGAAGTGCACAGCAAAACAGGCAAGCCAAAGCAGATCAGTTTTCTGCAAATTTTAATCTGGGGTTTGAGCAGCTAGTTCAATCAAAAATAGTTTGCAGAGAACTCCACAGAACAGGATACTGTAGTCGAGCTGCAGTGCACAAACTGCTCATCATGCTTGGCAATGCATGTTTTGAAGTCCAGAGATTCAAAGTGCATAGACAGTGGACTACCCAGCAGTGCAACAATGTGACATGGTTAATTAAATCCTCCTTAACAATGTTCTTGACTGATGAAGTACACATGTGGCAACAACCTGTAGAACTCTATAGTGTTGTGCGCTTCGCTCCAACAGTGAAGGGTTGAAGTGGTTCAGTAAAGCTGTGAAGTGCTTTTGCCTGGCATTGTGTGGGTGCATTCATTCCCTTAGAAGGCAAGGTCAAAGTTAATCACTACTTTATGGTACTGAGTGATCATTTTCACCCCATGTTGCAGCATTTCTTTCCTGCTGGGAGGACTATATTTCAACATGACAATACCCCCACCTCACAGAGCATGTGTGGTTGCTTAATGAGCAGTACGGTGATATGTCCGTGTCATGATCTTCTCAGTCACCCGATAAAAACCTGGGTGAACATTTATGGAATATTCTGGAACAATGCTTGTGATGGTGTTTTCCATCTCCATCAGCCAGGTGTGAGTTGATTGATTCTCCCGTTGAAGAATGGTATCGCATCCCTCCTGAGGAATTCCTGATGCTGGTAGACTATATGCCATGGCACATACAGGCCATACTGGCAACACGTGGTGGCCTAAGGATGCCATTGTATCGGGGCTTCCATTTTTGTGTCCACTGCATGTGCATCTTCAATTTATCTAAACGTAGAATGATCTGAACGAACCAAGCTTAGAACTAATCCTTTTATACCACTTCCATCTACATGAAATGTGCCTCGCCTTTGATGTTTTAGAGTAACTCTATAGCTGTCAGAAATATTTTATTACTCTATGCACTTTATATATTCTTCATGATATTGTATGATTTTGCAAGTGGGAATGTAGGCCAGTGTTTTAAAAACAATAGGGCACATTGTAGTCTATCTCTTAGTCTATCTCTAATCCTATGTCAAACTGTCCTTTTTTTAAAATGAGAACTGAATACCAAAAACAAGGTAAGACCGTACACAGATACTAACTCTTTAGACCAGGATCAACTTTTTTGAATGTGTAGTTTAACAATTCCAAATACATAAGTAATTTGATATTGCCTTTTCTCCAAAGCATCAAGAAATATACCTGTACAATCAGCTTCTACTCCACCTGGCATTGTTGAAATTGATGGCGAGAAGTTTACAACTCAGTGGTGAGTCCAGACGTGACACTTATTGTGTTCAGTCACCATTTTCTCTCTAGCATTTATTGTACTCTTTATTTCCTAGTAGTTTCATCCTGTTTGAAACTGTACTGATGTCTTTATCATCTCAGCAATCCTTTGTGAATTATCAAAAGAGACCTATGATGAGTGTTAAATTCAAGCTAGCAAAGATGACCTCTTTTGTTTATTTTGCAGGTTAAATGCACATTTTGAGGTGCACTCTGACAGCTCTGTTTCTCGGTCAGAAATGTACTCAGAGTACCTGGCTACTTGCAGCAAAATGGCACGAGGTGGAATCTTGACATCAACCGGATTTTATAAATGTCTAAGGTACACTGCACTGTGCACTGTGGGAACACCATTTCTGTGCCTTCATGAATATTTAGTTCACCCATATCTCAAGGGAGTTGAGTTTTCGTAGTATTTTTACTCTTCCCTTTTTTTAATCCAGAAGAGGAGCAGCTATCACCATTAAGAAACTAGAACATTAAACATAAACATAACATAGCTCTCACAGCATTCACTGTTGTTATTTTTATAATTTTTAAAAGAATATCACAAATGGGTGTTATCGGGTTTTCTGTAGTAATGTAGGGTAAACTTTTTTGTGATCTGTAGTTTCTCATTTTAACTTACATTGTGGTGTAGTCTTAGATTCCAATTTCTGGCTCTGATACTGGATGTATTCACTGAAGTTTTAGTTTTAATTAGCCAGTTGTTCTACTCCCCTTTCCTCTTAGATTAAAAGTGTATCTTATCCGGTAATCATAGTATTCCAATTTTTAGCTCTATCACATTATTTTTGAAAGATAATAAAGTGGAAGAGATGTAGATAATATCTATTCCACATGGTGCAAAGGACAGAACTGCTATGTAAGCACTCTGTAAAACACTTAGAAGTGAAATGAACTGTATTGACAACACAGATGGTGATATGGCAGAGGCTTCCGTTCTGCCTCCCACTGCATCACAAGACCACAAAGACCAGTTAATCTCTTAACATATGTTGTCAAATGTAAGATAGTACCTCTTACTGCCTGTAAAACGAAAGCAGTGGTTTTAATTTTGTGATGTGTGTTTATTAACATCTTGTATTTCGTGCTTGACACATAAAATCCAACTTGGTTTTTATTTCATTTAAAACAGTCAAAGTAGACACTGGAAACATCCTTGTTGTCGCAGGAGCCAGTGTATTTTACCGCATATTACACCGTCATTCCCTATTTTGTGCGTGATCCCTACTAGAAAAGGAAATAGTTTTAGGAATTTACTAAAACTGGGAAATATACCCATAGTAGAAACCACCATTCTTTTCATGACAAGGCGTTTGAGTACCCAAAGTATAAAAAAACAACAACTTAGGACCACTGTTTAGTTTTAGAATATCTTTAGTATTCATAGAAGTATTGATCTTTTTTGGGAATGTATTGGTTGCTGACAGTTAAAGTATCTCAGAACTACTTTAGTTTTTTTTTAAAAAGGAGTTTTTTTAGAGGAGAAGGGGGTAAGAACACTAAATGTGCACAATGAATTGTATTCAAATCACTCATCTTTGTAATTCTAAAGAGCCTGAAATGCTTCATATGCTTGTGTAGCTGTGTTTGAGTCATAACTGTGCCAGGCAGGGGCATGGAATTACTTCAGAGGACTGCAGGAGATTGGGAGGAATTGAGTGAGGTTTGAAATGCATTGGTTACTACACGCATCAGTCTACCACTACACAGGTGCCCACCCAGGTGTTTATTAAACTAGATCTTATCAAGGATTGTGGCGTTCTTCAAAGATCATGAGGGACCACCCGTTTATCTTATGGCAGTGGTTCTCACCTCTCATTATGTAGGACCCATGTGTTTTCAGATTTTTGCTCCAACTGAGTTCTTAATTACTGAGGCTAATTGATCCCTTAATTACTTAAACATTAAGTTAAGAACTTATTACTTAATCTTTTCTGGTCTGTTTTTGTACTGTATGTGGTTTCAGAAACTCTCCTGCAGGTTTATTGTTGTGAAGAAGGCAAACAGAACTCCATCCATTCTTTTCAGTTATCTTTTCAATTTGTTTTGTAAGTTCTTGTGTTATTTTTGTCTAAACAACTAACGATTGGAGACCACTTTGTTAAACTGTGATGTGTGGGAATTACATTGTATCAGACACTCCTAATTACTCAATTCTACACAACTGGAATGAGACCAGTTGTGAAACCTAGACGTCGGTTCAAGGTGGATACTAATTAGTGACCCTAATGCCCTAAACCAACTTATTAATGAGGGGGGGTTAAGAATGAGAGATCAATTAGTCTAATTGATTAAGAGGTCAAAAACTCAGACAGGGACTTATTGGACCAAGCTGGAGAATCACTGTCTCACAAAATTAGTTTAAAACAAATGGAAAGATATACAAATAATTTGTCCCACAGATCTGTGTGGATCTTAGTGAGGTTATGTGCTTCTGTCAGAGGTGATTCTACAAGAGACCTCTTGTGGAGGAAAGCAGTATATGCTATACCTGGCACAGTTTCTTAAGCAGGCTAACACTTTAAATGTTGTGCATTTTTCTGACATTTTGCAAACAGTAGGGAAGGACACTATTTCTGAATTTTGATGTTTTAAATACGGAGATAAGTTAATAGTTTTGATTTTGAACTTTTTTTTTCTTTTCTGATTTACTAGGAGTATTTTCCCTAACCATACAGTAAAGCGAATGGAAGATCCCAAGACCAATGGGCAAGCTCACATCCATGTGGTTGGAATCAGAAGGAGATCGATTCCACTTCCAATCCAGCTGTACTACCAGCAGCAGGCTTCCCCTGCACCTGGGGCCAGACACGACGCAGCCTCAGAACCTTCCCAGACTCCCCCCACAGGTAAAGGAAGACCTGTGTGCATCACTTGGGCATCCTGAGACTGCCCAAAGCTTTCCCGGAGACTTTTCATACCCAATCTTAGCAGGATGCAAAGTCAGTACTGTCACAACAGAAAAGCTCTGACATTGCTGTGCTTTTACATTTTAGCAACAGTAACATTATTTCTAATAACCTTATAATTACAATAATTATTACAAGTCAGGCTTGGTTAACAAGTCAGAAATGGTTGAAAATCCCTGTTGTATATGTGTGCAATGTTCAAGTTCAAATTCAATGTCATTATACTCGTATACAGGTATATGGTATAACGAAATGCTATTTAGCTAGCTCGCAGACGGTAAGAAGTACAAAAAAACAACAACAATACAGTTGTATAAGAAAAGAAAGACAGAGACAACAGGCACTGTGCAAAACAACAGCAGGTAACAGGTAATGTGCAAAACAACATCAGATGTGCAAAATCATACATCAACAGAATGAAATAAAGGGATAGAAAATTATGGGGAGTATGAGGTAGAGGTTGATTTCAATGTGTGTTTGAGTTTTGGTAAGAGAGAAGGCACTGTGAGGGTTCAGGTTGTAGGTGAGAGAGACTGAGAGTTTAATAGTTTGATAGTGCCAGGGTAAAAACTGTCTCCGAGTCTGGTAGTCTGGGCCCGAATGCTCCGGTACCGTTTCCAGATGGTAGAGGGTCAAACAGTCTGTAGCTGGGGTGTGTGGTGTCTTTGATGATGCTTAGAGCTTTCCTCAAGCACCGTCTGTCATAAATGTCCTGGATGGATGGGAGAGCAACCCTAGTGATGGACTGGGCAGTTTTCACCACCCACTGTAGGGTTTTGCGGTCAGCAATACTGCAGTTGCCATACCACACTGTGATGTAACCTGTCAGTGTGCTTTCTGTAGTGCATCTCTAAACGTTAGTGAGGATCTGGGGACATATCTTAGCCTTCTTCAACTGTCTTAGGAAGTACAGGCGCTGTTGCGTTTTCTTGATCAGACAGGTGGCGTTGAGAGACCGTGTGAGGTCTTCGGTGATATGGACGCCAAGGAATTTGAAGTTACTGACCCTTTCCACTTCAGTCCTGTTGATGTGGATAGGGGCATGACTGTTCTGCAGTTTTCTGAAATCAACGATTAGCTCCTTGGTTTTGCTGACATTGAGGCTGTTGTCTTCACACTACATTGTAAGGAGATTTACCTCATCCCTGTAGGCCCTCTCATCATTGTGTTGGATGTATAATAAATTCTTCAAGGGGAAAGATTTGCACTAAATTCACAGTTTACAGTATATTTTTACCACCTGTAATTGATTCATTTGTTGAGATACATTTTTTTCTTTGTTCAATATACACTTTAAAAAGGGATGTAGCAATTTCAGAGCACCACTACTGTTTGCTGTTAATATTAAATATTACTTTTGTTAAAGGCAGTGTAGTATTTCAACCAGGGAATATTTTGTGTTTTCAGTATATTTCAGTTTCATAATATGTCTTCTTTGCTGTGAACTTTGATTCTTTTCTGTAACTTTCTTTCCTCTGGTTATTCATTTTTTATTTATTATTTTATATGATAAGGAACATCTGTTTGTATGTTGAAGATCTGTAGCTTTCAATTTCTCATCTCTGTACATGTTTTTTGTTTTTCAGTAACAAAATCTAAGAGCCATCTTTTTACTTTCTTTTCAGGCTTGCCACATGGGCCTCAGAATTTGGGGAGTCAGTTCCCAAGGACACCGGTCAGTAGCCTTACTGCCAACCCGGCAGCCTCACAAATGGCCTTCACCGTTCCAGGAGTCCCGAATGTGGCTCAGACTGTTTCTAGGATATCCCAAAACCAGCCTGCCCAGGCCCCACAGCACCAAAACCCAGCAATGACTGTGATCCCCAGCAAACACGGAGAAGGCATGAAGACAGCGGTGATCCAGGGCTCCATTCCTTCATCTGCAGTTCCTGTCAGCCTTTCTGTTGTTCAGAACCACAACAGCATAGTTCACCAGCCTTCAGTCACTGTTGTTACTTCCCAGCCTCTGCTTCACCATTCTCCAGTAATAACTTCCGGCACCCCAGTGACAGTCTTTCAGCAAGGGCTCCCTCAGACCCATATCCTCGCTAGCAGGGTGCAGAACGTTCCTATGGGCTCCACAGTTGCTGTCTCACAAGGACAGCAGCTTGCATCCACATCCTCTCAGCCCATACAAAACCCTCAGCAGCCTGGGCCTCCAGTCCAGCAGCAGGAGGCTGTCATCCTTGCACCCCAGCAGTACATGTCCACTTCCACACCCAACATAGCCTCATGCTCCTCAGTACAAAACTTCCAAGTGGCTGGCGGTCAGGTCTTTACCATTGCTGGCGTCCAGAATCCGCAGAGCTCTCGAGTGACCTTTCAAAACATCGCACCCAAGCCTGTTCCCCCTCAGACTACCATGGTGTCCCAGCCCATACAACAACAGCAACAGCAGCAGAGCGTAGTTATTGTCAGTTCCAACCCCCAGCAGAACCAAGCCTACGCACCAGCTATTCATCAAATTGTACTGGCCAACCCTGCTCCAACCGTTCAGCTTGCTGGGCAACCCAGTATCACACCCTCCTCTACACCATCACCCTGTCCTCCTGCCGGCAGTCAGATACCACAAGTCATGGCTTCTCCACCAAATACCCCCCAGACACAAGGCCCACCCCCAACAGTAAGCCAGATGCTGTCTGTAAAAAGACAGCAGCAGCAGCTCCACCACCACCCTCCTCCACCGCCACCTATGCAGGTCCAGCCCCAGCCAGCACCCCCGCCTCCAGGCCAACCTACCTCCACAGAATCTAGTTTGATCAAACAGTTGCTTCTTCCAAAGCGAGGCCCTTCAACTCCGGGTGGCAAACTTATACTTCCTGCACCCCAGATCCCTCCCCCAAACAACACCAGAGCTCCTAGCCCTCAGGTGGTCTACCAGGTAACCAACAACCAAAACCAAGGTTTTGGTGTACAGGCTCAGACACAACCCCAGCAGTTACTGGTAGGCCAGCAAAATGTGCAGCTGGTTCAGAACCCTCTTCAGTCACAAGGAACTGTCCAGGCAATGCCCATTTCCAATTTACAGTTATTGCCTGGACAGTTAATCTCAACTACTACCCCTGCAGCCATCATACAAGGTACTGCTGGTAGCCAGGTGACTTTGACAGTGGTGCCAAATACCAGTTTCACAACTGCTGCTGTTAGTCAGGGAAGTGGGTCACAAATTATTGGTCCAGCTGGACTCTCGGTTAGTGGATCTCAGCCGGGGGTTGGCTTGCAAGTACAGACACTCCCTGCTTCTAATGCTGGCACCACAAGTCCAGCTCCAACCCCACCATTTAAAGGCGATAAGATCATCTGCCAAAAGGAGGAGGAAGCAAAAGATGCAACGGGGTTACATATACATGAACGCAAAATTGAAGTAATGGAGAACTCTTCCCTTATGGAAGGGGTTGCCAAAACAAGTAATGGGGACTCCAAGGAGGCAGAAGCACCTGCAGGAAGTCTTGTAAATGGGAGAAAATATGTTGACTCTAGTCTACCTCCTTCTAACTCAGGGAAAAGCCAGTTGGAGGCCAGTCAGTACATACAGGTCACTAATGGCCCCTTGACCGAGGTCAATGACAGTCCTGCCAATGGGATGCCAAGAACAGAGCAGGTGGATGGGCAGGAAATGAAAAGTGACCTGAAAAAGTTCCTCGTAAATGGGATTTGTGACTTTGATAAAGGAGATGGTTCTATTTTGAGCAAAAACATTCCAAATCACAAAGCTTCCAAACATGTAGGAAATGGAGAAATTTCTCCTCAGGAGCAGCAAGAGAATTCAGTCGCCCCTCAGCAAGATACTGCCAAAGCTGATCAATTGGAACGAACATCAAATGGGCCTCTATTAGTCAGTAACTCTCTGCCTATTGCAAACACACCGCTGGAGGCTGTGCAGTTACCTAGCCAAAAGGTTAGCTGTAATAACTCCGAGCATTTAAATGGACCTGTTGGATCAAGTTTTAACTCAGATGTGCCTCAGCCTAAGCAACAGCAACATCAGTGTGTTGTAATGTCATCACAATCCACAGCCTCACTAACAGTGACCACTGTAAACCCCTTTACAACAGCACCCCAGTCTGGAACAGTAGCACCACAGTGCATGCAGTTATCTGAGCCTCAGTGCTCTAATGGCTCAAGTGAAAACCGGGGTGTAAAGAGGCCGGCAGAAGATACAGATAGAGGAACTGTTTCAGGAATCCCCAACAAAGTAGGGGTGAGGATTGTTACAATAAGCGACCCCAACAACGCTGGCTGCAGTGCAACGATGGTAGCTGTGCCAGCAGGCGCTGACCCAAGCACAGTAGCGAAAGTAGCAATAGAAAATGCAGCCCAACAAAAACCGCATCCATCTTCCTTTATACAAGCAGTCGTCACACAGGTACGAGTCCTTCCTTTTGATTTTTTTGGAATCCTTTTCATATTTTCACTGTTTAAAAGTTGTCTTGATATCACTGCTGTGTACACCGTGATCAGAAGAGTAGAGATGCTTGTTGTGACCTCAGTGGAATCAAATGCAATTTATTATTTTGCATCTCTACACTATCGGAGAAAAACTGTTCATGACTTGGTGTTCACAAACTGTATTAGATGCTATATTTGTCTTCTGGGTGAAAACTTTTTAGATGTTTTTGGTCAGGTAAGTCAGCTAAAACTAATTTTTCATTTACAATGACAGTATGAAGAGCCATTTATGCTACAAGGAATTTGAATACCTTTCTTAATAATACAGTAGCAGCATCTCACCTGGGATTTGAACCCTCTCAAGTCTCGAGCTCACAGCCCTAACCGCTACTCCACATTGCAAGTCTGGAAAATTATGTACCATAGGGGTCTCACAGGGGAAGTCTCTTGGAATGGGCTAGTATCATAAGGCTTGAACCTGTGATCACAGCTCAGATTCAACCTGTACCCAAGTGAGTGCCCTGACCAGTTGTTCCATTTGGGAAGCCCCTCCGCAGCCTCTTCTTGACTGATTTGAGTTGGTCATTGTCATGGGTCTTGCAATGGGATGAAAGTAATTTTGTAGTTACTGTTAATCTATGAGAGGTGGAGATGCTCCCTTTTTAGAATGGTAGAGCATTTATGGACAAAAAAACGTAATTCTTTTGAACTCATCTCACAATGGTTTCTAGATTACCATTACAGATGTCAGTAACAAGCAAATGTATTAAGTACATCGATAAATTCAGTGGGTCAGTAAGTCTACAGTATCTTTTACACTTATTTTTGATAAAAACGGTTGAGTATTTCCTCTTTTGATGCTGTAACAAAATGAAATACTAGTATTTTGAGAACTCTGGTGATTGCTTCCTTGAAGTTTTGAAGTGTGAACCTAAACTAAAACAAGACTCTTACATTGACAGTTTGAATTTCTTCTCCTTCTGAAACCAGTACATATGGTTTTGATTTGCCAGTGTTTTAATCGGTTGCAGACATCAGGGAAATGAATGAGAGCACATTATTTTTGTATAATAGTAGCCAGAAAAAAATTGTAATAATTGAGGTCTATTTTTGGAGAACCTTAAATTTAATTTTAAATAAATCCTTAAATTTAATTTTAATACACTTGCAAAATTAAAATCTGTAATTTTGTATAAAATACCCTTTGAACTGTAGGTCTAAAGGTTCCTTTTTTTGCCCATTTAACGGTCATCATTTTCACTTCTTATTCTGTGTTTGAAAGCACATGATCTTTTTATCCCCTTCTTAATTTTTAAAAGTTTAAAATAGCAAGTTTTTGAAAAAAAAATACACACATGAGAAATTTAAATTTATTCATTTTATATTCCTTTATTTTATCATTTACGTCATTTGGGCTAGTGTGCTAAAATAAATACAGTTGAATTATTCGATTTTGCGCTCCCCATGCCAAAGCCACCTTGTTGTGTTATTGTGTTGGAATCGGTTTTCTTTGAAGAATGTTCCAGTCTTTGCTTTTGATGTATCCAGCAAAACATGCACAGAGCAAATGACTTGATACATTCGAGCCTGATTGAAAAAGATCTGCTTCACTTACTTTCTGATCCTTTGTTTGTTTTTAGAGCTTGTATTATTCTTGTGTTGTCTTTCTATAATAATAATGATGATAATTGCTTACACTTATATAGCGCTTTTCTGGACACTCCACTCAAAGCGCTTTACAGGTAATGGGGACTCCCCTCCACCACCACCAATGTGCAGTATCCACCTGTAGCCAATATAGCCACTGTGTTTCTTTTTTTACCTTTAAATGTTTTTTCAACTTATGTGGAGACTCTCAGTACTTATAGTCATGTGCGTATGGTACTAAAACTAGCTTTCAGAGACATTAAGTTTATGACCTTGGCTTTAATTGATTTTGCTACAACCGTGCTTTTACCATGATGACTACCAAAACTTATTTGAAAGCTACGGAAAGTTAATTGTAGACTGTAATTGCACCAAGTCTGATAAATTAATGTTCCTGAAAATGATTCTCTCCAAGTTGACTTCGATGAATGTGGTCAGCATAATGTGTGTTCTCTAACACTGCAAGTACTGTAACTGCAAAGAGGTGCACATCAGATAATTTCTTCTATTTTGGAAATGGTCACTGAGCTTGTCAATATAACTAATTTCTCCATTAAAATTCTACTTCAAATACACTCTTTCCCCGGGTTATGCAGGATTCAACTTAAGCAAATTTGACTTAACATAAAAACCTCCAATGGGTAACATTTTTTTTTCTCAATAGTTATATATGGGTGAACAGCATGGAGTAAGTGTGATGTAGTCTCTGTCTTACTCTTCAGTTTTGCTTTGCTTTTGCGCGCTTGTGGTAACTACTGCATGTTATCTTATGCTTTTTCACTGAAATACGTATTGCAATCATGTAAGGGAAGCATTCAAGTGATTTCATTATCTTTATGTTTTATTGTAGTGTAGAGTTTGTATAATTTCATTTAACAATTATTCTAATTAATTTACTGTACTATATATGTTTTAAGTTGTTCTGTGTTTGGTGTTTAATTATTCTAATTATGGGGTTTTAAAACAATTTTTCATTCTTCATTTCATGTTTCTCCCACTGTACGAAAGAGGGAAGTTTCCTTTCATTCTCTCTTTATCTGCTAGCAACTGGTAGCTACTGCTGGGTTCTCTGTCCTTCTCTACCCCTCTCCATCATTAGCACACACATCTGTTAACCATTAAAAGACAATAGTCTCTGGTGAGCTTGTGATTCTGCTCTCCAGTCTGCCCTTCCTCACTTGCAGACACAGTTGGGACAAATAAGGGAGGGTTGCTGCAATATCATGAATGGTAATTATATGTATTCACGCAACAGCTACGAAAGTGTCACGTTTAACATCCATAAGATTCAAGTAACCTAAAGATTTGAGGAACTGAACCCTTGCATAACCTGAGGAATGAGTGTAGTGTAATTGGTTGAATTTTAAGTTAAAAGGGGTTTCGGTAAGAAAATGCCTGTTTTCACAGCAAACAGTTGCAACAGAGATTGCAAAACAACATTTATGTTTTGAAAATTGAAATCACTGCGTAGAATTAAGACTTATTCTTTGAAAAACAGGCTTTAAATAGAATAATAGGCTTAATTCCATTTTATTTTAATCTAAAAAAAGTTTAAGTGAGTAATTATTTTTTATTACTAAATTACAAAACGTTATTAATAGCTTTCTGTTTGTGCCAAACGTTTTTTGAACTTGGACCAAGGCCTCTTCTACATTTTCGAATCACTGGGAATCCCCAGGCAGCAGTGGAAAACTGTCTCATTGCCACCAGGGGAGTGACTTGGCCTCGGTCCTATTGGCTCCCGGTAAAATTAAGACACCTGTGACTTGCCAGACACCACTAGGCTTGTGTGGAGACATTAGAGGGGGACTGAACCTTTGTATGTCACAGCTGTGCTTGTAATTTGTCACAAGTCAAGTGGCTTCTTTATTTGGACGAAAATAGGAATGATGATATGTGGATATTGGGGCGTTGCTCTGAGCAGAAAATTGGTAGTTCGAAACTGGCTATGTATGTAATCAACAAATTACCCATTCTAAGTGTCTAGTTAAATTTACTAATTATAATATTCTGTTTTACACAGGTGATTTCAAAATTTATTTCAGAACTGAAGTACTGTCAATCACTGTGAAGCCACATCTTCCTCAGCAGTTTCATGTCATTTTAGTTGTTGCATAATAGGGAATAAAAATTAAAAATGTTTGATTTGTAATATGTTGATGTAACTAACTTGTCAATACATTTATTGTAGATATATTTTAAGTTATAACTATTAGAAATATGACTTTTTCAGATAAGTGTATCTTTATTTGAGCTCTCACATTTTGATCCACAATCTTGGCTGAGCTTTGAGTGATTACAGAAATGACTTCTGAGTAACTCCACTTGATGAAGCACCGCTTCAATACAGCGGTCAGCCAGTACACTGCCATGCTGTGTTTCCCAGGGAGGGTGAGAGATTCATCTCACTCAATAGCTATTATTCCTTTCACAGTGGTATCCACAACATAGTGGTATCTGCAAGACTACCAGCACTGAGCTTCCAAGCCATACAGCAAGTGTATGCACTAGTCAGCTGCACACCTAGCAATTTCCTTCATGTCAGTTAGAATTCTTATGTTAATTGAGAGATGTGTGTTAAAACTCAAGGTATTATGATTCATAGCTTGAGGGAGACAGTGTGGATTTGTTTACACTGTAAAAACTAGAACCGTTAAGGAACTGTCCACAAAGAAAGACAAGAAACATCTTTTATCTGTTGAGCATAAATGGTATCAGCCTGAATGTTCTGTGCTGTTCAGACTGCACTGTCTGCTAGGTTTTTTTATCCCACTATAATGTATAATTGTGGTTTAAGTAGTCGGACTATCCAAAATTCATTCTCATTATTTTCCTTAACCATTCATAATGTTTGCCCATGTAATGAATCATCTTAATCAAATGTGGAAAAATGTTTGACAGACATGGTAAAGCTTTATATTGGAGTCCTCCAAACCATTTTGAAACATACGTGACTTCTCTAGAGTGTTTTATTGACAATATTACTCTATTCCACAGAAGTAGTCATTCTTTGATTAAAAAATTGTTTTATGTCAATAGCTACTAACTACTAACAAATGTAGGTGTTAGGTGGGAGTTTAAGGAGTTCCTTTTCAAAAGTGTGTTTTCTAATGGGCATTGTTTTCTCCATCTGACATACATTGTCATCTAAGATATTTAAGTATAGCAAACAACTCTGATGATAAAACAAATCTTCCTGCTCCTATCCTTGTGCAGCCTTCATCCATCGTATCACCACCTCCACCACAAAGTGTACAGGCATGCCAAGTGAGCTCAACACCCCCGCCTCCTGCAAACCAGGCCTCAACTGCACCCTCAGAACACGTCAGGAAGCCTGGGCAGAACTTCATGTGCTTGTGGCAATCATGTAAAAGGTATTTTTTTCCTCTTCCTGGAGCTCAGGAACTGCTTTTGGTTGCTGTGTGTACTATATAATGGTTTTAATCATAAGCAGCAGATTTATTTAACAGTTTATCCTTTTGTTGGTCATTTTATAGCACATATTCAGAATCAGTTTAATTTTAGTTCATCTCCTTTCTGGCTTATGGGAAAATAAGATTGACTTCTTTACCTTTCATTAGAACTGGAATGTGATTTTACTAAGACATGTGGCGTATCTCCGGAATGTGTGAAAATTTCAGGATTAGTCCATAGGATGACGCACTTCCTGTTTTTGTTTAGTGGCTTTCTGATGTTCTTTATGCTGTGCAAGGGTGTCGCTTAAAAATAAAGAAAAAAAGATCATTTCGGTCTTAACAAGACCTTTACAAACGCATTATTGAGAGGTTTGAGTAGTACTGAAGCATTTCGATCCCGCATGCATTTTCAGTTTTACCCAGATGCTTCCCAGCATTCAATAAGCCAGAACAAGTATAGTTTGTATTTTGATTTTTGTATGCAAAAGCAGGGTATTTTTTTCTTCTGACCAGTTAATTGTTTGGAAGAGAAACTGTGACTCATGGTTTTCTTGGTCATTTCAGATGGTTTGACACTCCGTCTCAGGTGTTCTACCATGCAGCCACCCAGCATGGAGGCAAAGAGGTTTATCCAGGACAGTGCTTCTGGGAGGGCTGTGAGCCATTCCCTCGCCAGAGATTGTCCTTCATCACTCACTTACAGGCAAGAAACCTAACCTCTTACCGACTACCATTTCTCCACAATGTTTCTGCGTTTCCAAAGAAGTGCTAATGGTGTTTAATCATGCAGGATAAGCACTGTTCACGGGAAGCCCTACTCGCTGGATTAAAGCTAGAAGAGCTGGCGCAAGGTGGCAATCAGAAAACTTCCAAGTAAGATTGTTTCTTTAGACTTCAGTTTTGCTACTGGTTTTCACAGGACATCTTCTAATTATTTTCCTTGTACCTTCAGTAATTTTGGGTACCTTATTGAATCCTCCCAACTCTTGTGTTTGTTCACAATTGTATTGAAGGTTTTTTACGTGTGAATGTGAATCAGACAGGCCAGTAACACCAGTTTCATTGTCACAGATGTCTTAAAACAAGCTCTTGTAGTAAGCAGTAGATCAGAATTAATTTCTACTCATGTCAAGGTTTTTTTTTTAAGTTATTTCTTTTTTGGCATTTTATGGACAGTGTGAACTATTCTGAGAATTGTATGAGGGCTTTCAAAAGGAGTATTGAGCGTATTCATTAGAAAAGTGAATTAAGATCATATGGTTGGGCTTTTCATGCTGAAAAAAAATCTCTTGCTATTCCTAGTGTATGTATCTTGATAATTGTTATGCACTCCTTAAGCACTTACATTTTTATTGAAATATACAAATGTATTTACAGTTTATGTAAAAATTACAATTTAAGTACATATAGTTTAAGATACAACATTTGTTTTAAATTATAACTCCAGATAATGTCACTTCCATCGTTGTATACTGCATATAATAATTATGATCTAAATCTGTAAAACTTTCTTTCCATGTCCTTCAACAACTGGATAAAGTAGCTAATGAATAGAAAAGAGCTACACTAGATAAATGGCCTCTTCTAATTTGTAACCTTTTTAAGTCAGAATGGAGGACTGAGGTGATGTGTTGCTTAAAGGTTCATCATTGTTTGAAATTATGGAGACACTAGTAATATTGCTTACCAAATAACAGAGTAATTGCAAGGCTGAAGCTCCTGCAGCTGTTAAAAGACACAGTGACTGAGACCTGATTCTCTCCCTGAGTGTAATTTGTTCAGGACATGGAAGTTAACACTGTTTACACTGTTCTATTTTTTTCCTTTTGTAGGCAACAGCCAGCTGCAGGTAGCACTTCCACCCCTAGAGCACAAAAGGCCATTGTAAACCATCCCAGTGCTGCCCTCATGGCACTTCGAAGGGGATCCCGAAACCTAGTGTTTAGGGATTTCACAGTGAGTATTAATGGATACTTCTCTCTGAACATAACTTTGTTAATACTAGCCTTTAGCAAGAAGCAAAAAATATAGCAGCCAGAAAAAAATTTTGCTTACCAGCTTCTCATCTTCAGTAAGCCAGTTATGTTTGTAAGAGGTATATTTTTAAAAGAATTAAGTACAAAAGTTTGACCGTTTAAAGTTCATTAAAAAAAACATGAACATAATAAAGACCTTCCAGGACAGTTTTTATGATACAGTAAAAAAAGAAAACAAGTTCTAATGTTTCTTTCTTCAGAACAATGTAACCTGCTGTTGCGATGAGGTCACATACACACTCACCTTGATTCCAGTCTCACGCTCTCAGCACATGATTTATTGCTGGTGGTTGACGCATGTGGATAAAGGTGGAAGGCACATAGTCAGATACAAACATAATCAGAAACAGCACATAGGTTACAAAAACATCCACATCGTCCTGATCAGTAGTACGATGAGAGTCTTCTTGGTGTTAGAGACCTCCACATACTTTAGGTTTAATAGTAACAAGTAACTTTGTGATTGGTTAGATGTGAACAAGCGTCTATGTCCTGTGTGGCCGGGTTAGTAGGAGTTTTTGGAGGAGAAGTTTTGGTTGAGGTAAAAGGAGTTCTTGGAGAGGTACTCTATAGAGAGTGAAGAGAGAGTTAATAGTGGAAGTAGAGAGTGGAGCAATGGTAAAGTATTGCTGTTGTAAAGATTTAACATTTAACATCTTAACCCGCATATAGTTTGTTTTAACTTTATTTTTCATCACACTTAGTGATTCTGTTCATCATACCAACTAGTATACTAAGCTGATCAATTAGAACTGTTTTGGGAGACCATATTTTCTCCATCGATGGGACAGTCTCAGATTTTTTTTAAATACACTCCATTCCCAGCTGTTTATTCTGATTTAATCTGGGATATTTTTAGTTATTTTTAGTGTTAATTTACATCCCATCCATGGTATAGGCCTTGTGCCCGTTGCTTGGATGGATATGCTCCAGCTGCCCCATGTGCCATGTTTGGAAAAGCAGTTAGTAAATATGTGGATGCAAGCAATTCTGTGTAAACGCATATAGAGACATTCATTAAAGTGCAGAAATCTTCCCTTATTTGCTCTAGTTGTGTCTGGAGTGAGGAAGCAGGGACAGGAGAGTAGAATTGCGGGCTCACCAGAGTTTATTGTCCTGTGATGGTTAACATGTGCGCGCTAAAGTTGTAAGGGGTAGAGAGAAAGAGAGAAACGTAACAGCAGCTAATAGTCCATGATGTAGAAAGAAAAAGAAAACTTCCTTTATATATGGGGAGAGAAATAAAATGGCAATGAACGAAAAAAAAACATCCTATAATTAGTATAAATACTTAATATAACATACATTTAGTAACTATACAGCAAAATGAAACATTGGAGAAAGATATTGAACTTTTAATGAATTTTGAATTAATATACTGTACATTTCATTGCCCTATAAGGTACGATTCTGTAATTATACACAAAAGAAAAACACTTTGGAGCTTCCCTTACATGATTGCGTTACAATTCACTGTGGAAAAAGGGCACGACAGCACGTAGAATGTAACACCACATAAAAACACAGTGAAACTGAGAGTAAAATGGAGCCCTGGTGGTGAATGTTATGCATACTCTGCATTAATAAACCATAGAAGGAACCTGCTGAACTACTTGCTCTTAACAGATCTAATGTAAACTTTCCATAATTCAAAGGTTTTACTGTGGGACCCACGGGAGGTTTTTATGTAAAGTGAGATTTATGTAAAAGTGGATATCAAGACTTACAGTGCCTTGGAAAAGTATTCAGACCCAAACAGCATATTGCAGTTTTTTTTTAGGAATATTTTCTAACATAAACCAATGTCACATTAAAATAATTTTGAGTTTCAGTGCTTTGAAATAAAAGTATCACAGAGAACTAAATTTCAATGTAGATTTGTAATTCAGTAAAATGAGAGAATTGTCAGGTGTCTGAATACTTTTGCAAGGCACTGTTTGTATCCCAGGAGAGGGTTTTTCACTCAAGTAAATTTGAGTACTAGAGTCTGTATTTGTATTATTTATGCTGACACTCTCAAAGTGCACAAACGTAAGCTGCTTTTATTTTAAATTTGAAAAGAGATTGCTAGTATGCTTTTGGTTTATGCTTTATGCTGACTTATACTTATTAGCCAAAATTAGACATTGCAATTTGGAAGACTGAAGAAAAATTAAGACATGTAATTGGTTGATTTTAGCTAGACCCACATTATTTAAAGTATTTTTTTCTATTTAGGATGAAAAAGAGGGACCAATAACCAAACACATCAGGCTGACTGCTGCCTTAACGTTAAAAAATATTGCAAAATACTCAGACTGTGGCCGAAAGTAAGTATAATGCTGGATATTTTAAATTAAGACTTTACATGTGAAGATACAGATATATCAATTAATACAAAATATCAATGACAAGACAAAACAATATCTGAAATTTGTCAACTGACAGTGAACTCGCATATGTCTGTTGAAAAACCAAGAGTTTTTGTAGACTCATAATTTTCTGTGACTAGACAGTGCAAGGAGGCAGTAAAGATGGCAACAAAATGCTGTATTAAGAGTTTTGATTTTAAGTGAAGCAATGTCAAGTTAAATTTTAAACAATTTATTACTTAGACTTCACTTAGAATGTAGTGTACAAAGTATTGTGTTGTCTACTGCCAATTCTTGGCTGGTCACATGGTGAAGCTGATCCCTGTAAGAAATAAAATTCTTAGATCATTAAGCTACTAGATGCCAAAATGAGCAAGATGGGCCCAAATGGGCCTCTCATTTTTATGTTATGTAATAAAAGTGAATTATAAATATGACCTGACATTGTTCTCAGATTCCTTTTACATTGTCAATTTGAAAGTGTTTTTTTTCCTTTTTGGTTATTGAAGGCCTGGACGTTTCTTTAATGGCCCCTTGTCTCATGCATGTTTCTTTCCTGTGCAGGTTGGTGAAACGGCATGAAAACCACCTGTCCGTACTAGCTCTAAGTAACATGGAAGCTTCCACCACCCTTGCCAAATGCCTTTATGAACTCACTCATTCCCTTCAGCCCTGAGTCCGCGTCAGGACATAAGACTCTTAACGAGAGGAAAGTCTTCATTTTTCCCCCTAACCTGAGGAAAAAAAAGTTGAAACAAAAAAAGGAGGAAAACCACATTTCAAGTACTATTACTGAAGATAGAGTCTTAATGGAAAGGAGACCGTAGGCTGGCATATTTATCTGCTCCCGTGATGCAGATTGTAAGCTTTGTATTCTGATCACTGAAAGAATCCCTTTGTTCTTCATACAAACTGCCATGGGATCTTCCACCAGCTGTCTGCAGGATGCCACTCAAAAGCAGCTTTATCCTAAAGGAAACTGGTATGATCAGAATTCAATACCATCCACATTGGAACAGATAAATTTAAATATTAAAAAACTTTACAATCAGACAAGATATGAGCATTATTTTTATTCTTCCCAAAACGAGCACATTTTTATATTGACGGAACTGTTTGACTAAGATGGGTTGAATACATGTTTCAGCACACCAGAAATAAGCCCTCTGGTTTTTTTTCGGGGGGGGGGGGTTGCCGGGGGGGTGGGCACCAGGGGACAACTGATGACTAGCTACGGATCGTGTGTTTTTCTTTAGAAATTGGTAGCTTGGTTTTCTTACTTGAGCCGATATATTTTCACTTATTTATTATCAAAATTACCAATATGATTAAATGAAAACCTATGTAAATATTTGTGAATATATATTAAAAAACAACTTTCATGCCACTGCAGCCACTGGAAACACACTCTGTGGTGTCATAGAAGCATTATTTGGGTAGGTTCCAATGATTTTTTTTATGATCCCAGTCACTTGTATCAAATATGATTATATACTCCGCAGTGGATGAATGTTAAAAAAATCTGTGTAAATAATTCTGCAAAGGTACTGATGCTGTAAAGTTGGGGGGGGAGAAACAGTTTTTGTGGAACTGTGATATTTTTTTTTGTATTATAATACCTTGTAGAACTCATTTTGCTGGCTGAAAGAGTATGGAATAATATATCTCATGTCATTTTTGTAGAAGAAAAAATATTGAAGGTATTTTTTGGTTTTTCCCTAACATGTATCCACTGTAAACGTTTTTGTCACAGTACAAGCACAATGCTTGTACAAAATTATTTTGTATTTGTAAATTGGTTTAAATACATGGAGTTTTATACAGGTTTTCTCCTGTGTTATATTTGCTTTATGTGCAGGTATGATATTTTCTTCACTACTTTTTCTATCTTAATATAGTGTGGAGTTTTATTGTACTATTTTTTCATTCTTAATACCATTGCCACATTCCTGCTCACATCCCCAAACTGTGTCCTCTTTACAGCGTGTTGTGTAACCATTTATAACTGCCTATTGCCTGTTGTATTAGCATCCAAAAACGGGGAAAATCATCCCATCACCATTTCTGCTGTGTCAGTAGGATGTGCAGTATAAATATAGATCTAACAGTTTATGTTATAGAATGGCTTTATTTACTTTGGTGACTGTTTATAGTTTTTAAATAAAAGACTGAACATTTTTTTGTCTTTCTTTTTATTTTAAACTTTACCCATAAAACTTTTTTGTGTGCGTGTGTATGATAGAAGTGGAAATGGGGAATAGAGGGTGAGCTTCCTTTTTGCTTTTTCACACCGTAAGTGTAAAACATTCCTTGTGTCCTGTAGTTTTAGGCTGCTGTATACTGAGAAGGAAGGTGATGTGGACAATATAGCAATATTTTTATGTTTTTTTTATATTTTAAAGGGGATTGTCTTTTGTTTTGCCAATTATTTTATAATAAACACCAATAAAGCTGATCTAGATGGTCTTTAAACAATTATTAAAGGGTATTTTAGTTCATTTTTATTGTTTTAAGTGCTCTTTGTGGTTTGTCCATTTTTTCCTCTCCAATTTGGAGTGTCAAATTCTGTTCTCATTTTATGTCTGTAACCCCTAAACTACAGTGATTGAAGTTTACCTTTCTCACCTTTGAGCTGCAAACAGGTCTTTTCACCTGGCAAACTCAAGGCACCTTCTCACATGCAACATGAGGCAAAAAAAATACTTCAGTGAGTTTTGGGAGCCAGCACTGCATTGAACTGTAATGTAATGAATTGTATTATTAGTGTTAAACCTTCAGTCTAATATCATAATGTTGCCAAGAAGCTTCCGTAGTTCAAGCTGCTGAAGAAGCTTGGATGGCAAGATGTACAGTGATCTGCTGCCACTGGGAGTAATTGGGAACTTCTGTGTATAATCTCACCACGGTAGTTTTGATGAAGGGCGGGACCCCATGGGACCCCCGGCTTGCTGTTTGATCAGTGAATCATTGGCCACAAGCCTATGAAAGTCCGACTCCACTGTTAGGAGTTCTGGTAACACAGTTCAAGTGAAAGTGCTCAGGCTGGCAGCTTGTCTTTGAGGAGCCGTTTATGGTGTCCCATTTTAGTTTAGAGATGCAATGACATCAGATTCATAACATTAGTCACTTCCTTCTGACTAATTCGGATTAATATATAAATACTGATAAAACTAAATTTATTGGTAAGGTCCCTAAATTACTACTTACAATGGAAAGATGTATTTGAAACCATTGATTTTTGTAATAGCTTAAGAGGCATATACTTGCATTTATATAAATTGCAGTATTGACCGAAAACTCTAAATCATTTAGGAATTTATCAGCGTTTTGGAGCCAGTGACTGGTGTCACAATTGCCTTGATGACTGGTGTCACAATTGCCTTGAATGATCATTTCTTCTAAACTAATTGGAATTCACCACACTATGCAAAATTATATGATTAGCAAATATGTACAAATAGAATAACTAAAAGACTGCATAACTGACAAATGTACAATCATACAATACATGTATTTACTGTAAAAGTGAATGCCATTCTACAAAGAATGCTCTCAGTCTTTAATTCCCGGTATTATGGCCAGTCATACACTTCACATAATAATATGTGGGCAAGAGATTTTAAAACTCACGCTGCAGTATGAGAGCTTGGTTTATTCAATTCTTAAATCTAAAACATTTTACCTTTGGAGTTGTTGAGTGGTAACCATAACACAAATTGAATATACAGTACATTTTCAGCTTCTTAACTGTGGCATGCATTGCACCTGATTGCAGCAGAAACTGTACAAACTCAATATTAACCATGTTGTACAGCCATCCAAGTTGATAAATACAGCTCTGCGGTGCACACCTACTCTTATCTCGGTTGCATTCAGTTTTTGTGAGGTTTTAAAATCAGATATCCTCGTTCTTTTACACAGTATATATACAAATGATAGTTCCACATGTGATTATGCTTTGCAAAATTATACTGTTTAATGGTCATTTGTGCTGTTTTTGTGTCCAGCTCATCAGTACTGTGTTATGAAATGTGAAGGGTGGCTTTTCAGTTTGACACGTGAGAGTTCTGGCTTTGAGAGGATCAATGTTATTTGTTTTTGTACACAGAATGGTTGTGATGTGTAAGAATGGCGCCAGATTGATTGCCATGGATACCAAAGGCCTTAAACGAATTCAAGCAAAAGCCGAAAAGGTAATCCAGAGGCAGCGGCTGTGGTGCCCAATTTCTGAAGGATGTATTGCTCGAAGATTTCAACCAGTACTAATCTGAGCTCTCAAAAGCTGCAGGATCTCCCTAATTTTATTCCATCTGAATTACTAATTGCATTTAAGTAATTCAATTATTAGTTAACTGAAACAAACTGTTAACAGATTTTAAGCAGGCTCGTATCTGAAAAATACTACAATTTGGAACAGACCATTAGACAGGTTAGTTTTATCCTACTGGTAAAAACTGCAGGTTCAGACATTTGGTACCTGTGCTTGGCTGAGGGGCCAAAGGTGCAAAGCTGCCATCTGTGAGAATGTGACTAAATATCTCCAAGTCAGAATCCCCATAGAGGGTAACAGGACAGAAAGAGTACTGCTTTACAGTCCTCTGGGCCAGCTACCCACCACCAATTTAGCCTGGCAATCGGATCCTCTTTTCTGAATCACAATAACCACATTTTAGATGTCAGAGTCTCCCTCTTCATATTATTCAACGTTAGTAGTTTTTTGTGTGTTCATTATCAGTTAAAGAGACTCATTGGATGTACAGAGAGAGCAATGTAACTCATTACAATTACAAATTGGCTTCAGAGTTTAATGGATTTGCAATACAATTAAAAAAGCAAACAGTCTGATCAAAAGTCTTAAGAATGAAGTATGCTAGTCCCATCCACAAGTTACATGAGGATGTGCTTTATTTGTCCATTTAAACAGCCTCCTTGATAGTGACTAAAAAGCTGTAAAGTGTATGTGGATGTATAAATATTCTTTGTTCAATTCAAATTTATAACCCTGATATATTACTATTACCCATATCCCAAATTAAATAGAACCTTCAAAACCAAACAAAAGATTTACCCTTTACCAGTATTTTTTCCTTAGGGAGCTGAAAATGCACATTATCACTACACACTCAGTGATGTCTTAAGAGCTTTCCAGATGACTGCAGTTTTCTTCTCAAATATTTTTTTTAATACAAAAAAGATTTTTAAAGAATTCATCATCCACCCAATAGCTAAAAGTATCTTGAAGTAAAACCTTCAGATTATGTTATTTTTTAACATACCTGAGTAAAGTTACTTAAAGCCCACTTTAGGCCAGGTGGCTGTGTCAGTAGTCGTTCTTCCCAGCGTTCAAAACTGTAGTGTCGCCACTTCAGGGGCACTTCTCTCCGCTTTATAATAGCAGAACAAATGACAAAGCCTACCTGACTGAACCAGAGTATTGAGCTCCTGGGACACTTACTAGTGTGTTATGTATGAGTGAGGAATCTAGAGATCATATAAATAATATAAGTAAGGATGACAGAGGGGAGGCACCCCATACCAGCACTGCTTGCTTCAGATGTGTCAGGACAGAAAAAGTACTGCTTCAGAAAGTTGAAAGAAATTCAGCACTGGATTGCGTTACAAACTTTTTTATTTCAGGACCTATAACAACGCAAGACAAAAAGTTAAAAAGTCCCATTCCTGCAATCCCACCTAAAATGTTTACTTATGTAAGGTTTTGGGGGCTTACTGCCTTTTAAAATTCTGTATGCTAATCAGTAATGGATTTACTGCTGTCACTTTGCAGAAACGCCTTCTCCTGGTGTTGGGGTGGA